GTTGTTCGCTTATATATCGTAAGAGTTTGGCATCATTCATATCTCCACTTGTGTCTTGTTCGAATCGTTTTTGTGGTGTAAAGTGTGTGGACTCTTGTGGTCTGTCATGTTTGTTGGTTTGTGTATACATGCCTGCTCGCAGTTCCAGTACAGCCTCCTCTGAGTACTTGAACACACTTGGCGAACTTCATGGTTTCATTACTTCTCAACACTTTGATGTCTTATTGATTGCTGGAGATTTTAATGTGGACTTTAATTGTTCTGGTCCCTTTCACTCTCTTTTGGTTGATTTTATTTCTGATCTAAATTTGTTAGTCTGTGATCTACCTTTCAAGAATTCAGTTGGGTTCACCTATGAGGGATCCCAGGGTTTTCCTCCTTCTTGGATTGATCATGTTCTTTGCTCTGTCTCTTACTACTCATTAGTCACTGATGTCTCCTCTCTAAGATCTGGACAGATTTTGTCTGACCATTTCCCTTTATGCTTCCCTCTTGCTGTGGAATGCTCTCATACACGTTCTTCCTCTTCCACTCCTCGAACTGTTAATCACACACTTGATTGGTCTAAGGCTACGAAAATTGATATCGAGAGATTCTGTGCTATGGTTTCTAAAAACATTACTGCTTTACCGTTTTATGTTCGTGACTGTGCCTCACCGTCCTGTTCAAGTCATTCTGCCTTTCTGGATTCCTATGCTCAGGATTTGGTTAATGTTCTTCTGGTGTCTGCTCGCAATTTCCTCCTTCTTGGATTGATCATGTTCTTTGCTCTGTCTCTTACTACTCATTAGTCACTGATGTCTCCTCTCTAAGATCTGGACAGATTTTGTCTGACATTCCCTTTATGCTTCCCTCTTGCTGTGGAATGCTCTCATACACGTTCTTCCTCTTCCACTCCTCGAACTGTTAATCACACACTTGATTGGTCTAAGGCTACGAAAATTGATATCGAGAGATTCTGTTGCTATGGTTTCTAAAAAACATTACTGCTTTAACCGTTTTATGTTCGTGACTGTGCCTCACCGTCCTGTTCAAGTCATTCTGCCTTTCTGGATTCCTATGCTCAGGATTTGGTTAATGTTCTTCTGGTGTCTGCTCGCAATTGTGTTCCATCACAATCAGTTTCAATTCATCGGAAACTTGCTGGGTGGTCTAAAAAGGCTCAGTTGCTCAAAAGGGCCTGTAATTTCTGGTATAGGGTATGGTCAGAAGCTGGGTGCCCCTCCTCTGGGGTTCTTTCTCAGATCAAGAAACATGCCAGATCCCGTTTTAAGTCTGAAGTGCGTCGCTTACGAAGAGGTCAGGATAAAATCTTAAGACGTAAACTAACAACTGTATTTGCTCAAAAGAAACAAACCTCGTTTTGGTCAACAGTGAAATCCTTAAACAAACAAAGAGCTGGTAGTAAAGTTCAGACCATTGATGGCATCAGTGGGGAGAATGATATTGCTGATTTGATGGCTTCAAACTTAAAGAAAATTCTCAATACTCATTCTGTTGCGTCTCGTGATTTTCTCTCTTCTTGCTTTAATTCCTCACTGTCTCTGTCACAGTTAGCTGATATTTGTGTGGTAGAGGATGAAGTTATTGATGCTATTGGTCGCCTTAAGCCTCATAAGTCTGATGCCTCTGGTATTTCTACTGAACTTCTCTTGCTTTTCTAGCTTAAGCAAAATCCTGGAGCATATCATTCTTGACAAGTATTCACATTACTTGCTTAGTAACCAACTTCAGTTTGGCTTTAAGTCTGGCTCTTAAACATCTCTCTGCACAGGTCTTGTAAAAAATATCGTCTCAAGATACATTTTCAACGGTTCTACGGTGTTGGGCTGCTTCTTGGATGCCTCCAAAGCATTTGATCTGGTGGATCATGGTAAACTCTTCTCAAAGTTTCAACATAGGGGCTTGCCTACTCCAATTCTTCGATTCTTGGTAAATTGGTATAGCTTACAGGAGATGAGAGTTCGTTGGGGTGATTGTCCTTTTGGTGTTTCAAATGGTGTCAGACAGGGTGGAGTGCTCTCACCAGTTTTATTTGCTTCTTACTTGGATGGTTTGTTGGAAGAGTTATCAGACTCTGGTGTTGGTTGTTATTGGGGTCACATGTTTGCAGGAGCACTCTGCTATGCAGATGACATTGTTATCCTGGCTCCATGTGCGTCTGCTCTTAGACGGATGTTGGATATTTGCAGTTTATATGCTCATGATCATGGTTTGTTGTTCAATGCTAGTAAAACTCAGCTTATTTGTTTTCGTTCTTGCAAAAACTGTCGCTTTTTACCACTGATCACATTCAACAACACTGCTCTTCCATATAAATATGAAGTCATACATCTTGGACATGTGCTATCCTTTGACCTAAACGATGGACTTGATGTAACCCGTGCACTCAAAGATCTGAACCAAAAAGCTAATTGTTCTCTCTGTACTTTCTATTTTGCTGATAGTTAGGGTCAAACAATTTGTACTCTCTTCAAACTGCTCTGAACAAGATCATGCGAAAAGTTTGGCACTTGCCCTCCCGTTGTCATGTTTCGATAGTACACTGTATTGCTAAGACTACAAACATACTTTATGGAAAATGTATTAAATTTTGTAATTCTGGCCTTATGTCAAATTCGTCATTTGTCTCGCGTATATTTCATGACTCATGTTTTTTAGCTTATACCTTCGTTGAACATAATTTCATGTTTGGTCATTTACTCTTACAAAATGAAACATATACTGATCATGTTACAAATGTTTCCCAAATTATTCGTTCTATCCGTTATGTTTTTGGTCCTGTATCGCCATTTGAAGAGCTTCTTTTTAAATTATCATGTTCTTAACTCCTCATTTCATCATCTCTTCTTTCTTTTTTGTGCCTTATTATTGGCATGTGATAATAATAATAATAATACTGTGCTATGATTTTTCCACTTGTTTCCACTATTTTTAACAGCTTATGACAACACTGCATTTACGTCACTGAAGTCAATGAAGGCCCATTTTGAGCGCCCCGCAAGGCTCGCGTAACACCGCGCAGACTGTGCCAAGTTGCTCCTCGCGCAAATCAACATCAAGCTAGCCAGTTGGAAATGTGCACACTTACTTATAGAAGGCACTGGAGGTTGAGAGTTCCTCTGCAGGTCAGTCAACTATTTCACCTGGTACTACGTGCGCACAGCGCATTGGACAACGCCCCTGCCTGGCGCATGAGCGCGGCTCACTTATGCTGAGTTGGCAGCAAATGGCGTTGCTCCATGGAATACCCGGCATGGATATAAAACTGGCGCTATGGCGCTAAAAATAGCGCCAGGAACACCTGAGCAGCGCCAAGCATAATTTCTTCGCTTAGCGTTACACACGGCGCAAAAGCGCGCGCATCCACATTTATAGCGCCATTCCATTATTATAGTGTTGTATACTGCACTGATCATTGTACAATACTCCTTGGAAGCGTGGTTGGCGCCGAAAGAGCCAAAATCCTGGCGCCAAGCCATTTCTCTCTTGACACCCCTGATACCGTAGTGACTTGCGGCAAGAAAGAAGCGATCGTTTGATGTCCGTGCACACCTCCGCCGAAATTGGAAACGTTTAGTGGGGTGACACGAAAATCGTGAAATCGCGTATGAGCGAATTCTCGCATGGACGACTGAAGGTGCGTATGAGGTCTTTGGGAACATGTATAGGTAGATATGGGCGTAGACTATTGCTAGTATGTTTTTAAGGCCTAGGGAGTCATTCTCACCGAATTTTTTTGTCGTTTTGTACGGGGATCAAGTGTGGTTTCACCGCATCTAGCTACCGACGCTCTAATAAGATTGAGAAGACACAACACGGTATGAGGGGTGATCAGTGCCAAAAATAGACATCTAAAAATGTGGTCTATACCTCTGACACGAAATAGTGTACACACCCTGCAAAATCAGGGGTGTAATTTCCCATAATAGGGTATATACACACTTTGATAAATTTGGGGTGTGCCTTCTACCCTCTAAGATGGCGCTCACTTTTGAAATAGTTAGTGTACTTCCTTAAAATGTATGTTTACCCTATTTTACGAAGCGGGTACCCAATTTTGCCCTATTTTACAAAGTAAGCACCCTACTTTACAAAGTGCGACAAAGTAGGCACCCTGTTGTACAAAGTGTACCCTCTATTTTATCTGTTTTACAAAGTAGGCTCCTATATTTACAATTGTACCCTCTATTTTACTGCTCTTTGAATCAGAGTTACAGCACTACACTATTTATTTTTGGCACTGATCACACCTCATAACACTGAGCTGTTGTTCACGTTAGCCATGAGGAACTTAAGAATGTGCTTGCATCCGCTTTGGACGTTAATGATATGGCTTGCAAAATACAAGTATAATAATATAGACATTCAGACACTATTTAATCAGTAATTTGTAAGAAAGTTCGACGGAAGCTGACATCAAACCTTTCTGCCTGCCCCGTTGGTCAATGTGAATTGGATTCACCCAAGAAGGTGAAAGACACAGTGGGATTGCTTCAAAAGGTGTTCAAAAGGGCACAAGATAGCATACAACAAAGCGATCAAAATGTAGATGTATGCCTTTATAGCCTGCAATGCTGTTGGTTACAGAGAAGTGTTCTTTTTACAACCTTCAGTACAGTATCTAGTAGACAAGGAGGCTGCTGAATGGGCTTGAGAATTTCACCTCGTAATCCTGCTTGGACTCACCTCTTCTAACCTCTATGTATCAAGCGTAGATATGGGTATCAAAGCCTATATCTAAAATCACAGTCTTTGTGTAAATACATAAGTTTTCTTGTGTTCCTGGAAATCTGTGTTGGCCACGACTGATAGAATGTGTTAAAGGCTCAGACCGGAAAGAGGCCAGGAAGAGAGAGGGAGAGGAGGTTGGTTTGAAGAACCAAATGTGAAGATTAGAGGAGAAAAATACTGACAGCCAGGGCCCCCAACACGGTCCATACAGATGGGAGCGATAACTGGAATACAGATAGTCTGCAAGACTCAAATGCTGCCCTACACTTGCTTGAGTAAACTCATCTAAATGCATTTCTACTACAACCAGCACAAATCAACATTAGTATAATTGTAGGATTAAACAAAAGGGCTATGTATAAAAGTTCTAAAGTCTACTAGAAAGTCCCATTACAATGCACTGGGAGTCACTTTTTACGTAGTAGAGCCACAACATCAGAGTGGTTATGAGCTTTTGCCTTACTGAATCCTGTGTCCCCATACTGAAAAGTGTATTAAACACTTAAAAAATCACAGATTATCAAGCACGTAGCTACCTTTGTAGGAATATCTTTTGCTCCATTTTTTAGAAGTAACTCAACAACCTCTGAATGTCCACTCAGTGCTGCCATAAACAGAGCAGTTGTTCCCGACTATGATTGAGCAAGAAAAAAACAAAAATGTAGAGAGACTCACAATGCTCATGGTGGGCTAATTCCTGGTTTACACTATGTCTGCGGCACAATAATTAGCTAACCAGCCACTGACACAAAATAAAATGTGTATGTGTCCAGACCCTCCTCCATAAGTGCATAAAAAGTAGTATAGAGGTTATAATACTAGGCACTAATACTTATTTAAGCAGACACTCAGCAGATACCAGCTAAGTTGTCATGTATAGTAACTCAGTTTGTAGAGTGCTCGCCCAGAAAGAGTGTCGTGGGTTTAAATCCTATCTAGGACAGCTCTTCTTTTTCCTCGAAAAAAGAGTTGCCCTGCGTGCCTGGCTGGGTAGCTAGATCACGCATCGAGGATCAAGCAGCATGTAAAAATTTTAAATTGTTTGGGGAAAAAAGTAACGCGTAATCCAAACGCATGCGCAGTTGGATGACATACGGACATATATATATAATAATACTCAGGTGGCTGCCATAGCACTAGGGCCATAGACCACGCACCCAGAGCAATGGGCGGAACCGCTAACACACGAACATACACCACATGAACATGAGGTGCCTGTCTCACCTCCCAGACACCTCAACTCACCCCTTCCACCAGCGACACCCTGCAGCTCCCCAGACGCAATCTGAGACTGGGTTTGTTGTACACAGGGACTATCGCCGTATATATCTTTTATTTTGGATGTTTGGGCGCTAAGAAAGGTTAGGTTATACGGACATATATATATTAATATGAAATTTCGTGCTGTTCGGACCACAAGGTTAGCTCGTCCCGCTCGCCAATTATCTATCAGATATTCCACATGGGAGGTCTGGCTATTTCTTGCTCTAATTTTGTACTAAAGCATTGGCGTAGCAACGTGATCTTGAGTTTGGGGGAAGATGCACAGGTCTTTTGCTGTTGCTGGGACTGTGTGTCTTTTATGTCATACATTTTTTAAAAACAGTCACCTCATTCTACAAAGCTTCCAAAATATCGTTGTCTTCGGAATTGCACGACACAAACATCCGTGCTATTTATCACAAAAACACGTAGCAGCATGACGTTGTTTAAGGCATGGTCGAACAAAGATAGGTTTTAATGCGGCAAAGAAAAGAAATGATTCCTCTGCTGTTGCTGTTGCTTTTGTCATTGGTTGTCGACATTTCCTGTATATATAAGCTAGATCTGTAACTGCTTTTCAAGCATTGTTGTGTTAATGTGTTTAGAGTACGCTTCAGCAACTGTATCAGGCACTTTTGCTGAAGATTCATCCATAATAATATGTTCCAGAATATCTTAATAGCAGCAGGTAGAGCCAAGGAAACTCTATCAATAGAAAATTCTTCAGTAAAGTACATGACATATCTCTGTACAATCTATGCACATCAGTAATAATTCAGTGAGGTTGTGGGGGTCTGTTGTACATTGGTACTACTAGATCTTCAGTGTTGGCCTGCTCAACAAAATCGCGTATGAGGAATTTCTCGCCTGGAGAACTGAGGGCCCGTAGGAAGTCTTGGGGGGCATATGTATAGCTATAATTATATTGGCCTGTAGACTATTTTTTGAAGCCTAGTGAGTCATTTTCGGCAAGTTTTTGTACGCGGATCATGTGAGATTTGACCCGTGACATCCCTATATAATAATGCTTCCAGTAATGCAGGTAGTGTATTAAGGCAGCAAAACAAATATATGTCATTCTTACTGTCAACCTTGTTGGACATACACTAGTGTCAGGGACACATATGTAGGTCTTGTTTGCATTGCTAAAATAAGCGTTTCTTGGAATTCTATGGAGAATTATTATGATGTTAAGGGCACACAATTATTAGCAGTGTTGTGGAAGCAGAGATTAAGGCAATGTGTATGACAGTGGACACTAACACCAGCTGCTTCTTCCACTTGAATCTGTGTGGCAACACCACACAGGTGGACAATCACCTCTGCACTGGAGTAATGGTAAAGCACAAACTTTGATGGCCATGGGGTGTGTCTGAAGCTGTTCTAGGCCTATTCACAAACCCAAATATATCGATTGATTGCCTAGCCAGGAAATATAGTGACATCTGCTTCTGATTAGCAGCATCGGCTGTCTCATCTGCAATTAATGTAGCCTGACGAATGCCAGAAAGCAGCTGCCAAGAGTGATTGGTTCTCTAGTGAAGTGATGTGTTGTTCTAAACTTTATGAATTATTTTCAGAAGTGTTTCTTTTGCTGCTGGACCAGCACTCCCAGACCTGCCTGTCACTTGTTTATGGCCCATGTGTGCATACGTGGTGTGTACAACTCTAGGTTACATGTAAAAATTTATTTTGTTTGAGGTCTGCAGGTGGCCATGGCCAATGTTGACGAGCTTCGCGGGGGTAAACGTGCACACCTTGCTAACTACGCCATCTCCAGCACAAGAACAGTCAAAGCTAAGTTACTTTAATGGGAGCAATACACCCTTGAATATTCTTGTATGGACAAGTGCCCCTCTGTCCTCCCTCCCCCAATTCCTAAAGAGTTTGCTAGAGATTCTTGCATTTTTACTCATTACCTTTTTCTGATAGTTGACATTTGCCTTTGCCTCCAGCAACTTCTGAACCGTCTGCTTATGTCCATTCTGAGCAGCTGCCCACAGAGGTGTATTGCCATGCTGTCAAAATTTGATGAAAGGTACATGCTACAGTGTCCAGACAAGACAGTATAAGCCCTGCAAAGGCAAATGCTAAAAGTAAAAGGGAAGAGCTGCCCTAGGTGGGATTCGAACCAACGACACTGCTCTTTAGGTGAGCTTTCTACCAACTGAGCTACCAGAGCAACTCATCTGGCAGGGGTTCAAATAATCAACCAAAGGCAAACCTCAAACCACTGTGGTATGGCACAGCGTCACAGCAGCACAGGTGACGCAGAGCTGTATAGGCTGATAGAATTCCCCAGTAGCTACCTAGCTTCATACATCTCGGTCGTCTAGGGATATCTAACAAATACTTTATTAACCACAAGTACATACCTCCATGTGAGCCATGTGTATATCAGCTCCCTTTTGCACCAGCAGGTCCACTATTCCTGTATTACCATTCTGGCTGGCTATGTACAGTGGACTCAAACCATTCTATTAATACTTAAGTGCTGCATAATAAACACACTTAGTTAAGATGAGAATGAGCGTTATGGACTCGAGAGCTCATTCAAGAACACACACAAAGCCAGCTAACAGTTCATTGTTGAGCATATCAGCTGGGTTTTCTCATGTGACTTTTAAAACCAGTTTGAGAAGATGCATGCACACATGGATGCCAGACACAGACAAGGACACAGATGCTGACTCTGTGAAAGGCTGCCTCGTATATAATCTCTCATGTCTGAGGCTTTGTACTTTGTTGTTTTGCATGTGCTATAACGAAACTCACTGTTCAACAACACATACTCACCTAGCTTTGTTCACAGGCTTACTGCGAGATAAAGGCCTTGGAACAAGGAGTATCATGTCTAGTGTTTTGGCGCAGACCAAACTCCTTGAGCTGTCACTAACATATCGCATTGCTATGTCCGTGTCCGTGTCCGCATCTGTGCGCATCCACATTTCCATATTAATTTGACAGAACCATTATTTGTATCATCTGTGCAAAAGTTTCATTTTTGCATACTTAAACTAATGCAAAGTTTCGACACATCTGGTTAGTAATATTAAGTGAAAAAGCATAGCATGATGTAGGTATTAATGTAAGTGGTAACACAACCTACTGAAAGAAACATAAGAGAGCTTGTAGATCAAACATAGGAAGCTCGCAGATAATAAAACTTGAGCAAGAAGAGCGCATGATGTTTTCCCCTGGACATGCATACAAACTTAAAATCATAGTCAGCCATGCTAGTCGAATTGTTATTGATTGGTTGATATTGCATTGAATGGTGAGGAATTAAACCTCAAATCATTTATGCCTCTCTGTTACCTTATCACATATTATATTTATTGTGGCTCTTTTGTCCACCAACAGCCTCACAACATCCACATTGCCATACTGTGTAGCACAATAGAGTGGAGTCCAGCCAAGCTGTGTGTGGGGTGAACACTGTGATACACAACATTGCTGAGGCTTAGTAACAGTTAGCTACCTTATTTTTGTGGTTGATATTGGCTTTGGCCTCCAAAAGTCTGCTGACTGTGGTGTAATGTCCATTTTGAGCAGCAACTCCCAAAGGAACACTACCAAGCTAAAACATTACATAGCTTTCAGCATGTAATTATACCAATGATTCCCTATAACACATACCTCAGTTGTGGCTAGATCAATGTCAGCTTTAGCTTGGATAAGTAAATCCACTATATCTGTTCGGCCATTAGTACTTGCTGCATAAACAGGACTTAGCCCACCCTATGGAACGAAGATGATCTTATAGTTCTGAATCAGGTGGGACAATACCAATTTTTGCTACTGTGTCACGCGCGCTGTCTCGCCACACACTTCATTTGCCCTGAATAGTTACGTGTGTTCCTGTTCTTCTGTTGCATAATATTCCCCCCCAAATATCTATAAAGTTTTGTGACTTCATTATGCATTACGTAACTCCTAAGAGAGCCATCGTGGGTAGCTGGCAGTATAGGCCACATAGAAAGTTAAGGTGTGTACATTGTCCAGTATTAATTCACTCTCAAAACCCCAGTTTATACTATAATAAATAAAAATTTCACAGAGGTCTTCACCTATGAAAAGCTGCCGTTTTTCACAGAATACTCAGCATGCTGCTCCAATTCAATGTTGACTGTGTTTCAGTGTAATTATTATTAATTTCCATACCTTAGTACAGATATCTACACCAGCGTTGTGTTCCAGCAAAAGTCTTACAACTTCTATATTACTGTCAGGTGATCTTGAAGCACAATAAAGTGCAGTCCAACCAGTCTGCAACAAAACATACAACAATGGAATCTAGTCTCTCACATGTTGTACAATCCTAAGAGCACAAATGTTACAATATAAACTGAAAGGATAGACAATAGGTAAGGTAAACCAAAAGGAAGAATAGGGGAAGTAATGTTCTGGGGAGGGTGACACTTTGTTAAAGAGATATATTGTACTTCATTGAAGGCTTTCACACATGCTCCGAATCTGGAGTTGTAGTATCTCTGCTTTCGAAAGCTGTGTTGCCTCACGTTTTTGTCTTCAGCCACTACTGTTGGTGCCAACAGTGAGATGCTAAAAGAGAATGAAACGAAGAAGCAAGAGGAAGCTGAGATGAAAGAAAAGAAAAGGGAGGAAATGAAGAAGAAAAAGAAGTGGAAAGGAAAAAGGCCGAGGAGTGAGCGAGAAAGCAGGAACAAAGAGCAAAAGAGAAAGGCGACAAAAAAGCACAGAGGGGCAAGACAACAAAGGGGAAGCAACTTCAACTGTTGGAGCAAAGAGAGGTCCCAACTCTAGACCCTTCCACAATGGAAAGTTCCTCGAGTGAACAGGTCAATGACAATGAATGTTGTGTGTTCTTTTTTTGTACGAAGATGATCAATCTGGGAAGGATTGAGTGGCCTGCGCATGTGGAAGGTGGCTTCGTGAGGACTATGCAGATACTGTGTGATAGACAGTGACGGAAACGAGCATCTCTGCTTCATATTTATCACCTGTAAGCTTTGTAATTTTTACATTGAAGTTGGTTTTTTGTTTCGCACTGTGCACTTTTATAGTTGTTGCATATAATGGTGAAGTCATAGCTACATCATATAAGGTGTGTTATTGTGCAGTAGCCGTACAAAGGTAACCTATGCGTGCTGTAATCTATGGGAGTCATTCTGGCATGCTAATGTACAGTAATATATGAGCCATTCTTGCACGCTCATGTACACTAGTCGATGAGCCATTCTGGCATGCTAATGTACTGTAGTCTACGGAGCCATTCTAGCATGCTAATGTAGAGCCATTCTGGCAGGCTAATGTATATGGACCATGCCCAAATACGAGATCTAAAGAGAAGTGTCATAGACTCAGATAACATAGTAGTGTGACTTTAGACTGCAACCGACTCCTGATAGTAATAGATAGCTGTCTCCTACATGCACATTGAGTGATTCTACTTAAATATACATATGTAATGCTGAATGACATCTATTGACTTGCACGTGCAGTGAACGCAACCGAACACGCTGCATAACAAACGTCAACGGTACCCAGCAAGATACACGACGTTGCCGTGCGTTTGGAGCATCTCGAACTGCTGTGAAAGAAAAGATGATTTTCTTCCTAAGCAAGCGTTTGCGGACCAGAGGGAATTCGGAGTGCTACTGTTGCTACTTGCATTGGCGCCGCTTCCAACTGGACCTGTACACGTGGATGCCTTGTATGATGACACCTTGTTTGTGGAGAGTGAGAATCATGAATTACGTAGACGGTGAAAAAATCACTGCCTCACACCATTTTTTCTTGTTTATGCTTTCGCCACAAGGTTTGCAATATTTATGCTGCTCTCACTGGCTCTTCTGAAATGGTTTTGCAATTGTATGATGTTTGCAAAACGTTTTTGCAGGAAAGAACATTTCTTTGCCTTAGCTTTGAGTTTAGCTCAGCTCTTTATCCTGAAAGGCGCTGTTTCATTTTGCACTTTTTTGTGCTCCTTGCAAAATTGCTCTGTAAGAAGCGATCTGTTTCAAGGTATATTATTGTTGTATCGTTTAGTGCATACATAAAGGTTCAAAAAGCCAAAAGTTCTTACATGTCCTGTTCCATGTTCAGGCATGTCAGTTACATGGAACAGGACATGTAAGAACTTATTGGGTCCCAACACTAACACCGCAGAATGGGCGCAACACGATGTGTGCAAATGCATGCGCGACTTCCGCATATCTTTTCCTCTCCCATAGGAATATATGGGACCCGAACTCAAAAAGCCTTAAAAATCCTAAAAATATTTTTATTGTTCTCATAGTACAATTCAACCCCCATGAAGTTTAAAAAGGATGCCAAATATACCCACACACCCTACCCAAATGAAAATACCATAGCCAAATAAGAACACCATACCAAACACAAATGCCAAGACCATGCCCAAATGAAAAGACCATAAGACACCATACCCAAATGAAAAGACCATACCCAAATCATGGGCGTCTAGCATTGAGGCAGAGGAGGCAGTTGCTTTCTCTGTTTTTGCCGACATATGAATAATTTATTACAACTTTCCGCAGCGTAGCTATATAACAAATGATGAGCGCCAGCAGCGTGAGCATGCAGTTAGCACTGGGTTACATCAACCAAGAGCGGACATCTACTCCTAAGATTATCTTACAAGCTTGTGATCGCTCCGGGCTTCGCCGTATTGCTCCGGCCTTTCGCGATTAAACACTGACATTGCGCAACATCATTGCGCATGCATTCTCTTTCTGCACTTCATTCTCCTTCTTAAACACTCAATTATTATTCATCCCCTACATTGGGGGCAAAGCTCATGAAGTTCAGTTCAGTACGAATAATAAATAATGCGAATGGCCATTTGCCTCCTCCCATAAGATTCAATCCTGGCTACGCCCCTGCAAATGAAAAGAACATGCCCAAATGAAAAGACCATACCCAAATGCAAAGACCATACCCGAATGAAAGAGACCATACCCAAATGAAGAGACCATACCCTAAGGAAAAGACCATACCCAAATAAAAAGACTACCCCAATGAAAAAGACTGTACACCCTAATTGAGCGACTGCACCACCGTTTAATTTCGACACTGATCACCCACATAGATTTCTTGGTTGTGCAGTCTTAGTTTTCGATAAGCCAATCAATCGCTTTAGAGCATGTGACCACGTGGAACAAAGCTCCGTGCACGCCGCATGTTCGTCAGCGTATCCAAATAACTTGCGTGTGGTTATATGTATTTATCACAAGGCTGAAACGCTCAAATGTCACCAGACCCTTTTTTCTTTAGAGGGCGGGGTCTGGGTACGAGACTAGCACTACAGAAGGCAGAAATTACTATCATCTGAAAGCTATCGCAGAAGCTGACATGTATCCTATGCCACAGGTCCACGACCTGATTGACTCGCTGGAAAACACCAAATACGGTATATACTACGTTGAACGTGGCCCGGGGATATTGGCAAGTTAAAGTCAACGAGGAGTCTTAACCCCACGCAGCTTTTACATGGTCTCTTCCAATTCCGAGTGATGCCTTTTGGAGTGCCACCAACTTTTTATAGGATTTTTTCTTGGGATGCTCCACCTGTGAATCAGCATACGCAGTCTTTCCAGGTATTGAATGATAGGCTACGTCCCAAGCAGATCCCTGAATTAACTAAGGAGTTCATTCAATCCTGGCTACGCCCCTGTACATGCCCTTCGTTGTGACTTCTTGTGCCTTCAAGATACACAGAGCGAGCGAACGCGGTCGAGGTAAGCCTGTGCTAATTTGCATATTGGCTTGTTCACTTGCTTTTCTTCGCGAGGGGAACGAAGTACTTGTACTCTAGTTCGGAGTTGTTCGACTGCATCGAACCTCCTAGAACCTTCTCGAACAACTTCACAGTCGAACCACACACATTCACGCCATAACTTTTGAACGCAACAGTTATACGAAAATCGCCTTTTTAAAAAATGAAACCAGTTTAGCGATGAACCTGTTGGTATTGCTGTTTTGTTGTCTCGTTGCGCGTAGTCGCAGAAAACGTGGTAACAGACAGACAGACACACTTACTAACCAACTACAGTAACCCTCGTTGCGAATGTGAGCCGAGGTTTAATTGTGCTTTAACATGACCTACTTTGTCTAAGTTTAAAAAGCTTCTTTGTATCTCTAACCTAACTACTTTTGTACCTTCACCACAAGTTTCAACTTGAGCACATTCTTCCTTATTGTAATTTTTTCTCTCTTTGATATTCCCTACTTTGTACTACAATTAATTCTGAAATTCAGCTGATTGAAATGACAGACCTTTATAAGTTTCAGTTTTTTTTGTATGCAGGATGAGTCTAAAAAGTTGGCAAACATTTTTTAATTAGGTCAAAGGTCATCACCATGGTAACATAATAAACACTCCTATATCATACTACCCTTAAAATCTTATAATGATAGGGCTTTCCTACGCACATGGAGTAAGTGCGGTAGATGTTTGGCATGCGGTCATTTATGAGTGCAAGCACTATATTTCATCACTATCCGCCTCATGTATGTAGTAAGCTATTACTATTTTGTGCCGCTTTGGCCGCGTTGTGCCACAATTATAATAATTATTACCTTGTCTTGGTGATTCACATTAACTTTTCCCTCTAATAACACCTTGACAGTTTCAATATGTCCCTTTTCAGCAGCCACTCCCAATGGAACACCGCCATACTACAGGGCAAGATGGAGTAATGACTGTAAACTTTCCTCAACAGTTTGGTCATTTAGAAGCACAGAGTGCAAACAATGCGTGTGCGCAAAATATGCATGCACTACCATGCTTCAACAAAGCAAACTTCTTGCTCTAACAAAGGATCCATAATTATACATAGGCATACTAGATGAATGCTAAGCATTATTGGCGAGCGGGTGTGTTTCCTGCTCCACCCTGCCTCCTGCGACCTCATTCTCGTGTTAGTCATGGTAGAGGTGTGCTGGAACATGTCCAAATCCACAAACGGCGTAAATCGCGTACATGCGTTCGTGCACTGCACCAGTGTTGTGGGTTCGTGGACTGCATCAGTGTTGGTCAAAACATAGAGAACAACATGTTCCCGCTCGCCAATTTTATAGGAACTGACGTGCTTCACAGCATACCTAAAATAACGGTGCTTCCTGCAATTTTTTGGTAAGGTGCAAAGTGAAAGTTGATACAGACACCTAAGACCTAATATCAACTTTTACCTGATTAGCACAACCAAGACACGGTTTATCGTGTGCTAAAGTCGGTAGCTAGATAGTGACAGTCTGACTCAGTTGAAGTACTGTAACCCTCGCTTCTCATGCACATTGAGTGTTAAGTATAACCTAAAGCACGATACATAATTTCTTTGGTTATGTGCACAAACCTCAGTATTTGCAATGTGCAAGTCAGCTCCAGCGAGAACAAGCAGCTTCACAACTTTGTCATGGCCATTTTGGCTAGCTATATACAGTGGAGTATGACCTCCCTGTAAAGTGAGCAAAGACAATATCACAAGTGGAAAAATCATTTGAAGGGGGATATAGGGATGGCTTTAAGCACCAAAAAGGAAGAAACAAGGGGTCATTACACAGCATAGATGCACAAACCACATTACACCATCCCTATATCCTTGTTCGATATTAAACTTTCCTTATGAACAATAAAACAAAGCTATAGGGATGGTGTCATGTAGCTTTGTGCATCTATGCTGTGTAATGACCCCAAGGACAAACTCTGTCTCTAATGGGCTGCTAGTGCCGAAAGCATGGGAGCTAGATAGAGTAGCTCATCAATTATCGAACACCATCACCCGGACACAGCCATTTCTCTCGGACCAGACAGAGTTAGCTATCCTCGCTACGTTCAGTATCTCAGAGGGTGTCACTCAACAGGCATGCACAGTACCAGCTTTGGCAGAGGGACAGTAACGCTACGGCGGCACAAAGATCGCTCACTGTCCGAACCACCATCAGTCGGAATATGGCCCTATGTTCGGACAGAGCATTTTCTGGGATTTTAAAGCTAAAGAGACAACGCTATGTACAGTGGGTCCCACTTAATATCATACCGTTTAATAGAATATCCCGTTTATAATCATACAAACCTGAAATCCAAAACCATTTCCTATGCTTTCCCATACATTTTACTCCGTTTTATAGAATACATAGAATACGGATAATGTCATATCCCGCCTATTATCACTATCCATTTTGGTTTTTGCCCGCATATTGTCATTATTGCGCATGCGTAATTAGGCATTCTACAACCTTGGGCTGGAGTTTTGCAACTCTTCATTCTCCACCTGGCTTCACTTAGCTTATGTAAACAGCTAGGCTAGCCTAGCTTCATTAGCTTAGCTAAACAAACTGCATTGTGCGCTATCCAGATCACAATATTCCTTAATATACACAGTATACACCCCCGGAGTATGCACAGTATACGCGCCCGCATTATAGCATATTATCATATTTTTTGGGTGCACCGCGGGTATGATATTAACCGGGACCCACTGTACTCAGAAAACCTCAACACTATAATACTACAACAGTACTGCGCGTCGTACTGCTGTGCGCAAACCGCCGGAATTTTGCACAAAGACTACGCCCACTTAATTTTGCGCATGCGCTTGTCTGTTCTTCAAACAGTAAAATAGCGCGGATACTAGTTCCCGAAGGGACGAACTTACGGCATATAACTCGCCTTGCCCTTGCAGTGAGACGAGACATTGCGGTCCGACAATTCGAAGGTGTCCGATAAAGAGCGGTGTCCGGTGATTGATGCAGTACTCTACCACATTCACCTCAGGTATTGTCTTCAACGAGGACGTAATTAGGTTATTGCACATGGGGCAACAATGAATGCCAATTTGAGCGCCACTCAAGGCTCGCGTAACACCGCGCAGACTCTGCCAAGTTGCTCCTCGTGCAAATCAACAGCGAGCTATATAGCCAGTTGGCATTTAGTGGGATCAACATCGACAGGAGTGTACGGACCTGACGCGTTAGCGACTTCCGGCCACGCCCAAAATCACTCCACGCGATGCGCGCTTACTATGCAACGCTCCACAGGATGACTCGGTCATCGTACAACCTGCATTCTTTAGGCCAGTGCTATACTCGCACCTTACTTTGCTTGCCGCCCGGATGAATCATGATCGGAGCCGGACCTCATCTAGGGTTAGTGCTAGGGCATCGACAGACTCAAGCAATCGATGCCCTGGTCCTAACCCTAGACGAGGTCCGGCTCCGATCATGATCCATCCGGGCGGCAAGCAAAGTAACGCATAAAGAATGTAGGTAGTACGCAGAGACTCCAGTCACCCTGTGGAGTTATTGAGTGCGCTTGAATGGGTGGGCATGTCCTTAATTAGTAAGCGCGCATCGGGTGGAGTGATTTTGGGCGTGGCCAGAAGTCGCTGCGCGTAGATTTGGGAAGAGCTACCGTAGTAACCTGCGGTAAGAAATAAACGATCGCTTGATGTCAGTGCACACCTCCGGCGAATTTGGCGATAAAATCAGCGCTTCAACTGGTGCTGGTAAGGAGATAGCGGGATCGAAGAAGAACAATGACACGAAAATCGTGAAGTCGCCGCGTATGAGCGAAGTCTCGTGTGGATGGAGAACTGAAGGTGCGTATGAGGTCTTTGAGAACATGTATAGGTAAATACGATCCCCGTAGACTATTGCTAGTGTGTTTTAAGGCCTAGGGTGTCATTCTCACCGAGTTTTTAGGCGTTTTGTATGCGGATCACGTGAGATTTCACCTGCGTATAGAGCCTCTACCGACGCTCTAATACAGTGGAATAACAATTCATACAGTGGAGTATGACGGAGACCTCCCTGTAAAGTGAGCAAAGATAATTTTTTGGCAGTGTAAGAAAACCCTTGGTGCAATACAAATGTGTGTGTGTCATAGCGCACCCTACTTATGCATGCAATGGTCAGTAATTACCCTCGGCGTGCATGTGCAGCGAGGGTACTGTGTGTGTGTGTGTGTCTGTCTGTCTGTCTGTTACTCATCATCTCACTTCTCCAATGTTCGTTTGTCTCGCAAACGATACGACTTACTTAACGGCCAATGAAGATCAGAAATTTCGAGCGGTTTTATCTTGTACGATAATACTTAGTATACAAGTAAAGAAAAAATTCTTCCAATTAAAAAAGTGTGGAATATAGGGATGCCATAAAAAGCAAGGAGACAAGACAGGGATGACCTAGTGCATTAGTATAATGGGATGATGGTTACATCTTCATACTGACATTGCTTGCTCGTGTAAATCTTCCCCACACAAGCCCTATATTGTTGCCACTTTTCTCACAACATGAATTTCTTTAGCGTGAGGACAATGGTGAGGCTGAGACACATCGATCCACTCGTGCATTAGAAACGAGTCTTAGCTGCACATCATACAATAGAGATAACTCGTGCTAGCAAGAGATAATAATGACAGTGCATTTAGCTGGCACTCTTTAGTCGAATCCCCTCTCTCAAGAATATTAAGACCAGTCTGTAAAGGGATTCTCTGGCGGGCCATGAACATAGCGTTGAAAAACTCATTGTTAGTTAAGCGAACACGGAAGTCTTAGACTGTACACAATGCAGTCACAACCAAAAACTGAGGGGCTGTCAGAGAGGGCAACACCGGTGCATCATGTGCTTAAGAGATGAATCATTCTATTAGGGGGCTCACTCATGCTTGACAGAGGAAGATTTACACGAGCAAGCAATGTCAGTTTGAAGATGTAACCATCATCCCATTGCATACCTACCAACCACCTCCAAATAATTTACTTGACATCTGGCACCAAATTGCTTGATATTTCACATTTTTGCTTGATTTTTGATTAATTAATAATTATTTAGAGTAATTACATTACTACTGCAGAGATACAGCCAATAAGATCATGATCATCTATACACATTAAGTATACATTGCATTGAAGTTAAGTTTCATAGGCTTCGTGTTGTGGCACTTTTGGCTTGGGCAATTATATCCGGTGTAATAAGTTCATTTGCACTCCTGATCGCGATTTATCTTTGCGCTCAAAATGTTACATACTGTAGATGGAAGCAAACTACCACACTGAGATATAATTATGTGTCGACTTTACCAATCATACTGAAGAGGCGCTCGGGATCAGCTGTAGAATGTGGCAAAACGAGCAAAGTCTTACAGAATCCAGTTAAATGACTAAAACGCTTCTCACCAATCTCACCAGCAGGCTTGGGTAAATCTCCAACAGATGATTTGCATGCTGGATCTGGTTACGACTGATACTCACGGAACTCCATCAGTATAATTATATAGCGTCTAAGTCAGCTGTTGGAGTAAAGCGCCTAAACAATCGTGTAACTGATGCTGCCGAGGCTTCAAACCGATAGCAAGGATCAAGCATGCTTAGGTTGTTGATTGTCAGGTCAGCGGCGCGGCATGAGGGGGGCCGGCTACGACGGCGGAAGGCGTGGCTACGTGACGGCGCGGTATGCGCCAGCGCGCGCGCAAGTGTAAAAAAGCGGGATTTTCGTACTTCATGACGGGATGCCGGGATCAGAGCTCGAATACTGGGATAATCCCGGTAAAAGCGGGATGGTTGGTATGTATGCCATTGTACTACTGCATCACATGCACTAGGACATCCCTGTATTATCTCCTTGCTTTTTTATGGCATCCCTATATTCCACACTTTTTTTTAATTGGAATAATTTTTTATTTAGTTGTATACTAAGTACTACCGTACTTAGTCATAACCTACGTAGTTCATTAATATTTTTGACAATGACAAATACTATTATATTGAAGGACTTACTTTGTCACAGATATTGAAATCAGCTTTGTTGTTTAAGAGTAGTTTTACCACTTCTACATGGCCTGTGCTTGAGGCCAAGGAAAGTGCTGTCCAGCCATCCTGTACAAATATGTAACAAGCCATAGCTTAATATGCACCCAGTATAGGGATGGCACAACTGGAAGTTTCACTTGATCTTCCTCCAGATTAGCTCAATGGCCCATCTCTAGCTATAATGCTTGAGCCCATACAAACACAAAGAAGAACCAGTAGGGTGTAGTTGACGTGGTTCCTTTGCCTTGCGCTACCTCGGCGTTGACACATACATATCAGTGGCGTTTCCAGCATTTGCGAATAGGGGTTGTTACCGTGGTGGAAGTAGTGCGCATGTGCAAGAGGGCAGGAACTGTTAAAATAATTCAAGAGCGACATCTTCCTGGTACAGTCAGGTCCGCTAGATTACGCAGCTGACCGCAACATGCGCAAAACCAGACCCCAGGCATGCGCAGTATCACGAAGCGCAGTCGCGCTTATGCCCAAATCACCCCCCTGGATACGCTAGTATGCTACTGCATATACTCGGTTTGCAGTTGGGTGTCTTTGGTGGTTTAATTACCCCAGTCTGCTCCTACACACTGAGTGAGAGGCAAGAATTCCCTCTGACATTATTTCATAATAATTTTCATTTCTCTCCTGCAGTCAGCATGCACAGGGCATGGGTGTTATCTGGATCCAACCGCACATTTGCACAGTCACTTTGCGGATTATTGCATACTCAAACTCATCTAGGCCAATATCAAATAGCCTCAGGGAATACATTATAATTATAGTGGGTTCACATGTGTCAGTGTCACTCAGTAATAGTAAGAGCTATGTGAACAAAACTTTATAGACATAAAGTATTTAATCACCAACATCAAAATCATTAAAAATACATGATTGTAAACAACAACAAATAGCCTCAGGCACTTTCTACTTCCGTACTCCTCAAACTTTCTAACGGTAGCACGCATATAGGTGAAACTTGGTACGCATGCGTATTACATCATTTGACAAACACATGTTTCCATGACGACTACATATTGTTTGAAAAAGGGCACTTATCCTCAAACTTGATAACGGTTTATAGCAAGCGTGGAAATAGAACTTGGGCACACACGCATATTTCATGACAAAATAAATGTTTCCATGATAGCCACATTAGTATGGTTGGAACAAAGACAAAAGCCTTTAAAATTACTTCTTCACTCCTCAACCTTTCTAAACTTTGTATGCATGTGAAATACGTTGTTTCCATGACAACCTGAACAACAACAAATAACCTCAGGCACTTTTCTTTAAAATTACTTCTTCACTCCTCAAACTTGCTAACTGTAGCACATTCCATGATGACCACATATTGTTTTAACTAGGAATGCGCACGCGCATATTTTGCCTGCCAGCCAATGCGTAACAGTCCGACTGAGGCCGCTCGTGCGCGCGCTTACAGACTTCCTACGAAACTGCGCGCACGGCGGAAGCTAGAATTCCTACGAATGACGGAAGTTACACTTCCTTTTGATGCCTAATTGACATTCCTAAGCGTGACTAATTGGCGAGCGGGAGCGAGCTAACCTAGTGGTACGAACGGCGCGGATTTTCTATAACGACTGTACGTCGTCCAACTGCGCATGCTCCAGGATTACGCGCTTCTTTTTATCCGAAAGAATTTCAAATGTTCACATGCTGCCTGCCGTGTGTATAAATAGTCCGGGGAAGATGCCCTTCGTCGTCGAAGAGAGTGGGAAAGAGAACATCGTGCCCGTGAGACTCCTGACAGAGAGACTCGTTTGTATGAGCGTCGCTTTCGTGATAGGGAACGCGCAAAGTTTTACACGCTGCCTAGCTGTAATAAATATAGCCCGCCAAAGAACTCTCGTCTATTTGCTGGCATTCGCTGCGCTCTTCGATACCTGGGCGAGGCTGTCTATACCTCCTTCCAATCTTCGTGATTCGAAGGTTCAAAGTTGTAGGATGGCTCGTGCAGATAGAGTCATTGTGTGCTCGCTCCCGCTCGCCAAAAATGCCATGCATTCGCCTACTAGTTGACATTCCCTACGCGTGACTAAATAGCGCGTACGTACGTATATACGCATATCGCGAGAAAATACAACCCGGAGTAGTTGCCTCGCGCTAATGCGCTCGGCAACAACAAACTCTTTGGGGTCCACATTACGGGCGCAATTGACTACGTAATCCCGTATAATATAGATAACTTTTTAGCCTACTTCAGGAGCGTGGAGTGACAGGCGGTAAGGTAGTGCACTTCAACATGGGAGGTCCCTAGTTCGAATCCCGCCGTCTTTTTTCTTTTTGCGTTGCGTTTCCGTTGCGTTTTAGTGACGTAAAAGGCCACTCGAGAGGCTTTGGGCCCCAAAGAGTTGGCCTTCGGTTCTTCACTAACGGCAGCAAACATGAAGATGAAACTTGGTATGCATGCATATGACATCGTTTCCATGACGACCACATATCGTTTGAACAACAACAAATGGCTTCGGGTACGCATGCGTACTCATATCCATGACGACAGCGATCTTTCTTTATTATAATTTTACAGGGGGCTTGCCCCTTTCACAGATATATTTAGTGCATAGCTAGCTGGTTTAAATCGAGCAATCTGATTTGTCCACACGAGGTACTTGATTTCCCGTAGTGTACCTGGGACGCTCCGTAGTAAACCATGTAAAATTTTCACATGAAAATTACAAGATCACGTACAGAAACATGTAGCTTTATCGTCTACAAAAGTTCTTTTTTAGTTTCAACAGTATGCACAGAGAGACAAGAAATCTGGGCCTAGCTGTACGTAAGCGCCTTACGCTAGCGCTAGCGGTACGTTCACGCCCGCGGAAACGTGCGCGTAGAGTGGGCGGGGATCAATTGTAGTGATCGAACGGACCCATCGCGCAACGACTTCCGGAAGCCGCAGAAGTGACCGCGCCCCCACGCAAATGTCACGCGCCATAGGCCACGCCCCCTAAAACATTGCCGACGCACGATATAACGGGAGGGGCTGCTAACTGAAACTCCAGCTATTATTTTGTGAAACGTCCAACGGTAAGACGAGCGGCATCAGAATAGACACTTTACGGCGGTTTGGCAGCATTCTCTTTCACGCGCTCTGGGAGATCAGCAGATCGCTTGATTCCACACCAAGGGCCTGATTGAACTGGCCATCTTGCTACCACACGTTTATGACCTGGTGTTTCGAGAAATGAAGCCATTCTAATCTGGAACCAAGCTATCTGCGACAGCTCCCAGAGCGCGTGAAAGGGAGAGGATGCTGCGAACCCGCCGTAAAGTGTCCATTCTGATGCCGCTCGGCTTACCGTTGGACGTTTTACAAAAATATAGCCTGTGGATTTGCAAGAGTTTCAGTTAGCAGCCCCTCCCGCTATTTCGTGCGTGAGCAATGCATTAGGGGAGCGTGGCCTATGGCGCGTGACACGTGCGCGGGGGCGCGGTCACTTGTGCGGCTTCATGAAGTCGATACGCGCTGGGTCCGTTCTCTACACTTGATCCGGTCGGCGTGGGCGGAGCCCTTTTCCGCGAAGCGTGGCGGACGATAAGCGGGTGCTGTATATAGCTTCTGCCTGCCGTTTCTGGCTCGCCGTGGTTTCTATTATCCTAGTGCGTGTTTCCACAGAGACGCCCGCCAAAAAATGCCGTCTTCGATTGGGGTTTCCGCGCAAAGAAACTCGCTCTGACTCGCCGCGACGACTTCAAACTCGCTATATCCGATGCTTCTTCGATGAAAGGCGTCTCTACGATGCAAAAAGGAAGACCTTTTTAACTTCCCCCAGCGAGAGCGAGTCTCGCGGAAGACGACGGACCTGAACGATTTTGACGGCCAGCACGGCCTCCGTCTAAACAGGTTATAATGCTTGTCAATCGAAATACACGATTTAGACGGCCTCATAGCTCTTGTAGCGTCTTCGCTGCGCTCAGACAGCTACAGCTCAGGGCCCCTCAATCGCGTATTTCCATTGACGCGCAGTATAACCTAGATGCCGAGTCCAGGAAACTACGCGCATTAGAGAGCCGCGGGGGCTCTGGGCTGTCGGCGTTCGAGCGCAGCGACGACGCTACTAAGGGCCCCCAAGGCGCTTTAATGCGCGTAGTTTCCATGGACTAACTTGTCTAACTTGTTTATAGCTGTGGCAACGCTTGCGCGCAATTCAAATTCGGTGCATCTGAAACCGCGAACGAGCGCTGCTTTCTCGCTGGGAAGTCGAGCTAGAGGCCCAGGGAGGACGTCGACATCGGGTTCGCCTGTACGTACCTTCGTTGGGGGACTCCGCCCAACGTAAGTGAGCCATTGCGCATGCGCAATATTTAGAGTCCGGAGAAAGTTTATTTGGAGTCCGGAAAATTTGCTCTACTCGAATTAGAGTCTGCGCATGGACCAATCAGATTGCGCGATTTAAATTACCCAGCTCTAAATACAACGCAGAGGCCCTCGGGTTCATTGAAATCCCGTAGTTCGCTTGAACTGAGTAACTAACTATAGTAGTATACAATAATGAGTGGAGACAAGTAATCAATTCAGTAACCATGCTTCATGTATCCCATACCTCCCTTTCTTTTTATACCATCCCTGTATGCCTCTTTTTAAATTTGCAGGATTTTTAATTTACTTGTAACATGTAACTGTAAGGTTATGTTTAGAAAAGTTTTATCTGTGCAAGTACGTACGTATGTGCTCGCATTACTCATAACATCCATAGGCCTCTATTCGCACCTGAGCAAACTGTGGGCAGTTTGTATGTGGTTACTTTGTTTTTGACTAGTGTAATACAAACTCCTACTCAAGTAAGTATCCTGATATGTACTATACCTTGTCTATGATGTCCAATATAGCATTAGCTTTGATAAGTAACTCTACGACAGCAGCTTGACCTTTTCTGGAGGCTATTATAAGAGCAGTCTCATCTCTCTGTGTTAAATAAGATACTAATAACTTTTTCAAGAACACACCTGAGAATACTCACCTCTCTAGTCCTGGAATTAATATTGGCTGGTGTGGAAAGGAGTCTTTTCACTTCTTGCAC